CCTTCTATATAAGCCCTAAAGCGTTTCAGACAAATTATAGCTGCCAGGCATTCTTGTTCCGTGACGGAATAATTCCTTTGTGCTGGATTTAGTTTTTTTGATACAAAAGCTATAGGATATTCATCTCCTGTCTCTGTTTTCTGAACGAGGACTCCCCCTACTCCAGTTTTACTGGCATCGCAATGAATATAAAAAGGCTTAGTAAAATCTGGACTACGTAATAGCGGTGCGGTGCTTAACATTTCTTTCAAGTTTTCAAAGGCCCTCTTTCCCTCTTCGGACATGGCAAATTTTTTCCTGGTTTTTAGCAAGTCAGTCAATGGCGCAGTCACAGAAGCAAAATTGTGGATAAATTTCCTGTACCAGCCGGCCATTCCCAAAAAGCTTCGTAGGGCTTTTATATTTTTCGGAAGCGGAAAGTTGGTGATGGCGGACACTTTTTCGGGATCGGTTCGTATGACGCCTTCCCCCACAATATGACCAAGATATTTTACAGAGCGCATGCAGAAATGGCTCTTCTCTACGTTAATGGTCAAACCGGCTGCTCGTATGTGTGATGCTACCGTTTGCAGAACTTCTAGATGTGACTCAAAGCTATCTGAAACAATAATCAAATCGTCCAAATAAACAAAAACCTCATTTCTCAACGCTGGTGGTATGACTTTATCCATCAGCCGCGACATAGTCTGAGGAGCATTGCACAAACCAAAAGGCATAACTCTATATTGATACAATGGCCTACCAGGAATTGTAAACGCAGTTTTGTCTCGCGAGGCTGGGTCAAGCGGTATCTGCCAAAAAGCATCTTTCAGATCTAAACTAGAAATAAACATGGCTTTTGGCAAACGACTCAAGATACCATCAATTTGTGGGAGAGGATAGGCATCTTTTTGTGTCACTGCATTTACCTTACGGCTGTCTAAGCATAATCTTATCTTTCCTGGTTTTTGAACTAGTACAACTGGCGAAGACCAAGCGCTGTCTGATTCCTCTATCACCCCCAGCTTAAGCATGCGATCTACTTCCGCATAAAGCAATTTTTCCACGGCGGGAGAGACGGGAAAATGACGCTGTTTTATAGGTGTTGCGTCCCCCACATTAATAATGTGAGTAATAAAATTTGTCTTACCTAGCCCAACCAAAGCAAATGAGGGAAACTGTTCGATCACTTTTTGTAACCTTTCATTTTGTTCCATTGATAATTTATGCTGACTGCTATCTATTTTTAATTCGGACACTTGTAATTCAGGTGGCAAGAGATCATATAAATTCCAAAAATCTATTCCTAAATATAGTTCTTGGGACAAGGTGGGAATGATGTAAAAGTCCATGTCGCGCGTTTTGTGTTCGTACTCAACTTCAGTCGTGATACGACCTACAATTTGTTGAAGGCTACCATCTGCAGTGCTCACATTAGATGATACACGCTTTATTGGAATCCTACTTTTAATAATTTCTTCAGCCAAATGTCCTCCTATACAGCTAACTGCAGCACCGGTATCTAAAAGACCACACACTTCACGGTTTAATAATTTAATTAAAGCATAAGGTCTTTTGTCGCTTTTCTTTTTACGAATTGCATTTATGGTTTTGATTGCGCGCCAATATGATTTGTGCCTATTGCTATTTCTGGACTGCGATAGGAATGTATCGGGCTTTAAGTTTTTACATAGTGATTGAAAGTAATTTATTTTCTGTGGCCAGTGTAAAAAGTCGTTAATGTTATTTTCACTGGCAACGTCTAGCTTTTGGCCGACGTTATTGGTTAAAATTGGCTTATTTAATCTGTGTTCGTCGCCTGATTTATCTGAACACACGAAGGACGACGAGTGCCTTGAGTGCTCACCTTCAAGTTTTTTTGACATTTGGGGCAAGCAGGCTTGTAAGTGTTTTTAGTGCCACAACCATAGCAAAATACTTTACGTTTGGCTACGCAATCTTGGTAACGATGCCCTTCTCTGCGACAATTCCAGCAGATAAGAGACATTGCCCCTATTTCTTCGTTGCCATCAGAATCGGACTCTGAGAAAATATCAGACTTATTCTCTTCAAATACCTCAGCCACATTTCTTTTAAATGGAGTGGATTTTTGATACCCATGTACACGTCTGGCTTCGTCCAAGAAACATTCTCGCTTTCGACAAACTTCCCTCAACTTAGAAACTGACCTGGTTTCTATATTAAGGATTTCGTGTTGTACCTCTGGCCGTAGATTGCGCCTTAAAATTTCAACTAATGTGGTTTCGTCCAAAGTTTGTTCCAAACGGTCAACTAACTGAACTACTGCGTCATAAAACCCATCAAAGTTCTCTTTTTCTTTTTGTTTTCTATTGCGAATGAGTTCTCTAATGTCCACATCAGAGCGCGTATCTCGAAATTGCTTTCTGAGGGCCATGCATAATGAGTTCCATCGCACCGTTTGCTCTGCTTTATGGAATCTCCAATAAAAATCATTAGCTTTTCCCTCAAACAAAAGACTAGCGTTATCGCACAACAAAGCGAAATTTCCACCAAGCGTTTGGTGAGTAAGCGCTTCGACCCGGTAGATAAAATTATCGACGCTTAATCCTTCTGTGCCCCCGCTAAAACGGAGCTTCCAATTATTTATTATTTGACCAATCTTTTCCGGCCTATTTTCCAACTCTGAGCCATTATTGCTGACGGATCGCCCTATTGGAACATAATTAGTTTCAGTTGTACCTGGGGCCAATCTCAATAACTGATCAGGCGAGCGTGAACTATTGGTTGCACTTTGCGAGCGTGATTGCTGAGTAACACTGTTGTGTCGACTCAAATGTGTGGAAACACTAGTTTCAACTGCCGCTGCCAACCTTTCGGTCAATTGAAGAAGCAAGTCATTTTGCATAACTTGTAGGGAATTGCTAATAAAAGAACTTAGTTCCATATTAATGCCAGATGGATAACCTTCTCGATTTGTATCAGAATTTGAAGCTACACTAGATGGTCTGGGGATTTCCGGTTGGATTGCAGTATTTTCAGTTGCTTTAGTTTGATTTCGAGTTTGTTGACGTGTTGAGGGGCCTGGAGGATCTAGACAAATGGCTTTGCAAACCGGACATGTATTGTCACTACGAAAATGTGTCTTTATGCAAAGTTTATGAAATGTATGTCCACATTTAGTTTTACAACCGTCGCTTGGTAAAATTTCCGCATTACACAAAACACAATTTAAATTCTGTGCGGCTTGCTCTTCTGATCGATTTAGCCCCATTTTGTTTGTACTTTTTTTTTTTTTTTTTTTACTTTAGATTAATAGCCGAGAATGTTTACGTTGACACAAAAAAATTTTACGCTCAATCCCTCCCAATAATAAGGCAGCTGAATTGAAAACGCAAAACAACAAAATGTGCAGAAGATTAAACAAAAGTAATAATAAGAATGTATAAATAATTTTAGAAATAAAAATAAGTATATTAATTAGCTTTTCGTAAATGTTTATAAGCGGTTGGTTTTAGCTATTAGTAATTGAATAAATTGTACCAAACCGCAACAATTTTAGACAGAAAAATATCAATAAAGTTTATACGATTTGACCTACTGTTTCGGTCGGCAAGAAATTTAAAACACACCTTTTTATTAATTCGGTACTTTCAAAAGTGTAAGCATTGAACACTTTATAAGAACAGTAAATAATTAAATTAATTTCAAATAATTTCTTCGCAATTTTTAAACAAGGTACATAAATATATAATTTGATTTCACGCTTCACCCTAGCCTTAACAAGGTTTATTTCCTAGTGTGTGCCATATATAAGAATGTATAGATGAAAGAATGTAGACATTACGCAGCCGTAAGTGAACAGCCGTAACTGCTTATGGTTTTGAACGATTTATATTAGCTTATTAAACGTGGTCAGTAGGAGATAAAAAAATCTGCCCTATCTGCAGTCCTATGCGCCTCATAAGCTAATTACATCCAATCATGGAGAGGAGAATTAAGATTTCAACTTTGCAAACCACCGTGGACAGCTGATTACTTCTAAAAGCTATTCATACTGTAACCCTATGCGTTTGTTTGCCAGGTTGGTAATTAGAAGACAAGTTTAAGTCACATCAAAACGCATCAGCCGTGGTCAGACGACAATTTCTAAAAATTCATCGCTGCAATCCTATGCGTCTGGATTCGATTTGCTGGGACTAAATTGTAGAAAGAAAATACATAGTATATGTTGTTTTACTAAACAGTAAAACGAAGATTGAAAAAAAAGAAATTAGGATTGAGAAAAGAAGTGAAGTCATGTTTTAAGTTTTGTGAGTCACACTAAGTTAGATGGAAAAATTAATAAACGAATTTTACTAATAATTCCAAACTAAGTGAGGCCATCACGTTGGGCGCCAAAAATAATAATAATAATAATATCTGTAACGGTTACAGAAGGAATTTGGGACTAGGTGGTCGACATGAGTAGGAGCGGCACGCTTAGAGTTCCGGCTCTGGCTCGTCGGCAATTGGGTGGTGTTCTTTACCTCCTACGTCATGTATGTCCCATGCTTATTATTTATTTTAAATAAGCGTGCATAAGACGAGAAAACAAAACCGGAAGAGAAACACTTAAACTGACTTCGGACGGACTTGCACCTACACTAAACTGCACACACATGATCAGAACTCAGATGTTGGCGAGTCTGAATACGCCCTCCCTACCTTGGTCATTACTAAAAGCCACATACAGAACAAAAAAAAAGAATATTAACAATGACCCCTTTGCTGGAAACAAAAACTTACGAAGGCATTGGGTTTGGCGTGAAATCAAAAAAATGATAAATTAGTAACACATTATAATTTATTTAAATGGGAATAAAAATTAGAGTGTTAAAGGAAAACATAAAACAAATTGCTGAACATACTATTACTAACAAATTCAATAAATCGAAAAATAATAAAAGAGAAAAAAAAATTACAATATTAAAAAAATTGAACCTTTTAAAATAAAAATAAATATTGCTCGAAGAAAAAAAAAAATTCATTAAACAGCCGTTCAGTGGCGTAGAGAATAAAAATAAATATAAACTTTCTTTAGTGAGTATTGCGCTTCCAATGACCCATTTTTTGAAATCAAATGCAAATAAAAGAATAAATAAACAGCTGTCTACTTACGGCTGGGCTGCTGATCCCACGCAGAAAGCGCTTTCCGTCTGGAACGAGCGTAGCTGTAAAAAAAGACACCGCGCTGGAATAAGAGCGCGCAAACAAAAAAAAACCCGCGGGAAGCAAAGTAAAGCGCACAAGCGCGAGAGAGAACCATTAATCGCTCTCACGTTCTCACTAAAAAAAATTGGTGCCTTCCGAATTACGGAATAAGGCAACAAGAAAAAAAAATGCAAAAATAAAACAGTGGCTTAACAATTAAAACCATACATATCACGAGCACTTCAAATAAAATTTTGCCACTGATTTGGACAAATTAACATATATAAAAAAAACTAGCCTAACCTTATAAATACTAATACGCCGGCAATCGGCTTCTTCGGCGCTTGCGCGCCACTGCAATCTTACCCGAATTTACTCGGGTTTTTTACTTTTTTTCGGGCACTAAACCGACACCAACAATAAAAAAATTAAGAAAAAAAAATGGGTAACACCTCCGGGCGAGTTCCGATACTTATTTTAACGTTTGGTCGCCGATTTAAAAAGGGTCGCGCCCCCGCCGACGTTTGGTCGCTATAGCCGCCTTTTCTACACTCCCAAATTAAAGTAGAAGCTGCCGGGTGTTGAGTGGACGGGAAAGCTAGCCTGGAAGTTGCTCTCTTCTTTTTTTTCTGCCGTTTATTCTCCCTCTAGGCACTGCGGCCGACCGAGTGGAAGTCCCAGGCAAGGTTTGTTGTTGCAGACAGCTGATCAAGGCCCTGCAAATTAATTTAATGCCTATCAGACTGCCTTGCCTAAACACTTGTTGCAAAAAAAAAATCACGCAATCTGCAACTTACCGTGGTCTGATACTTCTTCCGCAAATATTTTAGCGGCTTTAATGGTTGTACCCAAAGCGGTTAAAGAGAACAATTACACACTTTTGAATTCAATTTGGGAACTTTACTTTTTTTCCCACAAAAGGCACAAGCATTTGCTTTCTTGCCAGCGGAAGAAAATTTGACTTTTTTTTTTTTTTTATTTCGACAAGTTGAACTTAACACTTCATACACTTCTGGCTTGATTGACGTTCGGAATAAAAAAGACCGAACGTACTACCGCTGGCGCGAACGAAAGCTTTTAACATAGCGTCAGTGAAAGGCGCCAATTTCTTCCTTTTGTTGACATTTGCTGCTGCTATTTCACTTTCACCTTGTACCTGTTAAAGGCTACTGTTTAGCTTGACCAACAGATGGCGAGTCGTTAAATTTTAAAAATAATTAAATTTAACGTACAGGCTACAAGTCACGCTACAAACACCCCCTCACCAAAATCAGACTTGGGGAATAAAGCGGGCTTAATGCACACAAGGCTGATCTGACTTGTAGCTTTTTGTCCTGCAAATCGCGTATGCTTATTGGCGCAAATCTTTGGCATGATAACGCCCTATCAGTCGCCCTTGCAAGTCTTCGACATCATAATATGAGTTTCCGAGTTTGCTTCGAATTCTCGCTTTAATAAAAGTTGGACCAAGTTTTGCACTATAACCGGTTTGAAAAGAGCTCTGCTTGAAATTGCGATGATAAATTTCTTGCCCTACCTGGTAGCTGACTTCGCGTGACCTCAGGTTATAATTTCGTTTATTTTTATCATTTTGCCTTTTCGAGACTTCAGCTGCCTTACTTTTAACAATGTCAAAAGAATCCGTTTTTGAAAATGCAATGGCTCTATCTTCTAATAGATCTAGCGATTTCAACAGCTTATAAGTGGCTCCAGAAGTCACCATATGCTGCCCAAATACCATATAATAAGGACTCGTATTTAATGCAGCATGTACTGCAGAACGCAAAGCACAAGAAATTCTGCTTAAATTTTCGTCCCAATCTCGCTGATCAGGCCGTATGTATGAACAAATTGCTGCAATCACTGACCGATTAACTCGTTCAGAAGCATTTGCTTGCGGTGAATGTACGGCTGTGAACATCTGGAAAATTTTGTGTTCTTGCAACAAATTCCTAAAGGCAATAGATTTAAATTGGGACCCATTATCTGACACAATACACTCTGGTACCCCAAAAGTGTGGAAGAGCTCATTTTGCAAATACTTGATCACCACCTCAGCATTCAGTTTTTTGACTGCTTTGAGGAAAACGAATTTTGAGAAGTGATCCAGCACTATGAAAACTCCCACGTGACCACTTTTAGAACGTGGATATGGACCTAAGAAATCCACGTACAACCGTTGAAAGAAGCGTTGCGTTTCGTGCGGTTTACCAAGTGGAGGTCGCAAAGTACAGTTTACAGATTTTGTAGACTTACAAGTTTCGCATGCATTAATATATTTTCGCACGTCGTTTACCAAATTAGGCCAGTAATAATACCGACGAATGCGCTCCAATGTTTTATGAATTCCCCCATGGGATGCTAAAGGATGGTCGTGAGCATTTTTTAAAACCGTTTTTACCAAGGATTTGGGCACCCATAGCTTCCAAGTATACGTATCATGCAACCTGTCCCCATTTGAATAGTCTGAGCGCCTATAAACCAAATCATCGGCGATTTTTAGGTCAGGAAATTGATCCAGATTGGCTTTAACACGTTCCACCAAATCCGAATATTCTTCGCCCTTAAACTCTGGCGATTCCAAATCAACCAATAACCCATTGTTCAAGTCAACGGCAGCAATCTCATCCTCGTTTATTCTCGACAAGGCATCTGGGACCACATTAAGCCTTCCCTTGCGGTGCTCAATTCTAAATTTAAAACTTTGTAGTTTTAGTGCCCATCTTGCCAACCGCGAATGCAAATCACTTTGCGACATGAGCCACTTTAGAGAGGCATGGTCTGTAATTATGGTAAATTCCAAGCCTTCTATATAAGCCCTAAAGCGTTTCAGACAAATTATAGCTGCCAGGCATTCTTGTTCCGTGACGGAATAATTCCTTTGTGCTGGATTTAGTTTTTTTGATACAAAAGCTATAGGATATTCATCTCCTGTCTCTGTTTTCTGAACGAGGACTCCCCCTACTCCAGTTTTACTGGCATCGCAATGAATATAAAAAGGCTTAGTAAAATCTGGACTACGTAATAGCGGTGCGGTGCTTAACATTTCTTTCAAGTTTTCAAAGGCCCTCTTTCCCTCTTCGGACATGGCAAATTTTTTCCTGGTTTTTAGCAAGTCAGTCAATGGCGCAGTCACAGAAGCAAAATTGTGGATAAATTTCCTGTACCAGCCGGCCATTCCCAAAAAGCTTCGTAGGGCTTTTATATTTTTCGGAAGCGGAAAGTTGGTGATGGCGGACACTTTTTCGGGATCGGTTCGTATGACGCCTTCCCCCACAATATGACCAAGATATTTTACAGAGCGCATGCAGAAATGGCTCTTCTCTACGTTAATGGTCAAACCGGCTGCTCGTATGTGTGATGCTACCGTTTGCAGAACTTCTAGATGTGACTCAAAGCTATCTGAAACAATAATCAAATCGTCCAAATAAACAAAAACCTCATTTCTCAACGCTGGTGGTATGACTTTATCCATCAGCCGCGACATAGTCTGAGGAGCATTGCACAAACCAAAAGGCATAACTCTATATTGATACAATGGCCTACCAGGAATTGTAAACGCAGTTTTGTCTCGCGAGGCTGGGTCAAGCGGTATCTGCCAAAAAGCATCTTTCAGATCTAAACTAGAAATAAACATGGCTTTTGGCAAACGACTCAAGATACCATCAATTTGTGGGAGAGGATAGGCATCTTTTTGTGTCACTGCATTTACCTTACGGCTGTCTAAGCATAATCTTATCTTTCCTGGTTTTTGAACTAGTACAACTGGCGAAGACCAAGCGCTGTCTGATTCCTCTATCACCCCCAGCTTAAGCATGCGATCTACTTCCGCATAAAGCAATTTTTCCACGGCGGGAGAGACGGGAAAATGACGCTGTTTTATAGGTGTTGCGTCCCCCACATTAATAATGTGAGTAATAAAATTTGTCTTACCTAGCCCAACCAAAGCAAATGAGGGAAACTGTTCGATCACTTTTTGTAACCTTTCATTTTGTTCCATTGATAATTTATGCTGACTGCTATCTATTTTTAATTCGGACACTTGTAATTCAGGTGGCAAGAGATCATATAAATTCCAAAAATCTATTCCTAAATATAGTTCTTGGGACAAGGTGGGAATGATGTAAAAGTCCATGTCGCGCGTTTTGTGTTCGTACTCAACTTCAGTCGTGATACGACCTACAATTTGTTGAAGGCTACCATCTGCAGTGCTCACATTAGATGATACACGCTTTATTGGAATCCTACTTTTAATAATTTCTTCAGCCAAATGTCCTCCTATACAGCTAACTGCAGCACCGGTATCTAAAAGACCACACACTTCACGGTTTAATAATTTAATTAAAGCATAAGGTCTTTTGTCGCTTTTCTTTTTACGAATTGCATTTATGGTTTTGATTGCGCGCCAATATGATTTGTGCCTATTGCTATTTCTGGACTGCGATAGGAATGTATCGGGCTTTAAGTTTTTACATAGTGATTGAAAGTAATTTATTTTCTGTGGCCAGTGTAAAAAGTCGTTAATGTTATTTTCACTGGCAACGTCTAGCTTTTGGCCGACGTTATTGGTTAAAATTGGCTTATTTAATCTGTGTTCGTCGCCTGATTTATCTGAACACACGAAGGACGACGAGTGCCTTGAGTGCTCACCTTCAAGTTTTTTTGACATTTGGGGCAAGCAGGCTTGTAAGTGTTTTTAGTGCCACAACCATAGCAAAATACTTTACGTTTGGCTACGCAATCTTGGTAACGATGCCCTTCTCTGCGACAATTCCAGCAGATAAGAGACATTGCCCCTATTTCTTCGTTGCCATCAGAATCGGACTCTGAGAAAATATCAGACTTATTCTCTTCAAATACCTCAGCCACATTTCTTTTAAATGGAGTGGATTTTTGATACCCATGTACACGTCTGGCTTCGTCCAAGAAACATTCTCGCTTTCGACAAACTTCCCTCAACTTAGAAACTGACCTGGTTTCTATATTAAGGATTTCGTGTTGTACCTCTGGCCGTAGATTGCGCCTTAAAATTTCAACTAATGTGGTTTCGTCCAAAGTTTGTTCCAAACGGTCAACTAACTGAACTACTGCGTCATAAAACCCATCAAAGTTCTCTTTTTCTTTTTGTTTTCTATTGCGAATGAGTTCTCTAATGTCCACATCAGAGCGCGTATCTCGAAATTGCTTTCTGAGGGCCATGCATAATGAGTTCCATCGCACCGTTTGCTCTGCTTTATGGAATCTCCAATAAAAATCATTAGCTTTTCCCTCAAACAAAAGACTAGCGTTATCGCACAACAAAGCGAAATTTCCACCAAGCGTTTGGTGAGTAAGCGCTTCGACCCGGTAGATAAAATTATCGACGCTTAATCCTTCTGTGCCCCCGCTAAAACGGAGCTTCCAATTATTTATTATTTGACCAATCTTTTCCGGCCTATTTTCCAACTCTGAGCCATTATTGCTGACGGATCGCCCTATTGGAACATAATTAGTTTCAGTTGTACCTGGGGCCAATCTCAATAACTGATCAGGCGAGCGTGAACTATTGGTTGCACTTTGCGAGCGTGATTGCTGAGTAACACTGTTGTGTCGACTCAAATGTGTGGAAACACTAGTTTCAACTGCCGCTGCCAACCTTTCGGTCAATTGAAGAAGCAAGTCATTTTGCATAACTTGTAGGGAATTGCTAATAAAAGAACTTAGTTCCATATTAATGCCAGATGGATAACCTTCTCGATTTGTATCAGAATTTGAAGCTACACTAGATGGTCTGGGGATTTCCGGTTGGATTGCAGTATTTTCAGTTGCTTTAGTTTGATTTCGAGTTTGTTGACGTGTTGAGGGGCCTGGAGGATCTAGACAAATGGCTTTGCAAACCGGACATGTATTGTCACTACGAAAATGTGTCTTTATGCAAAGTTTATGAAATGTATGTCCACATTTAGTTTTACAACCGTCGCTTGGTAAAATTTCCGCATTACACAAAACACAATTTAAATTCTGTGCGGCTTGCTCTTCTGATCGATTTAGCCCCATTTTGTTTGTACTTTTTTTTTTTTTTTTTTTTACTTTAGATTAATAGCCGAGAATGTTTACGTTGACACAAAAAAATTTTACGCTCAATCCCTCCCAATAATAAGGCAGCTGAATTGAAAACGCAAAACAACAAAATGTGCAGAAGATTAAACAAAAGTAATAATAAGAATGTATAAATAATTTTAGAAATAAAAATAAGTATATTAATTAGCTTTTCGTAAATGTTTATAAGCGGTTGGTTTTAGCTATTAGTAATTGAATAAATTGTACCAAACCGCAACAATTTTAGACAGAAAAATATCAATAAAGTTTATACGATTTGACCTACTGTTTCGGTCGGCAAGAAATTTAAAACACACCTTTTTATTAATTCGGTACTTTCAAAAGTGTAAGCATTGAACACTTTATAAGAACAGTAAATAATTAAATTAATTTCAAATAATTTCTTCGCAATTTTTAAACAAGGTACATAAATATATAATTTGATTTCACGCTTCACCCTAGCCTTAACAAGGTTTATTTCCTAGTGTGTGCCATATATAAGAATGTATAGATGAAAGAATGTAGACATTACGCAGCCGTAAGTGAACAGCCGTAACTGCTTATGGTTTTGAACGATTTATATTAGCTTATTAAACGTGGTCAGTAGGAGATAAAAAAATCTGCCCTATCTGCAGTCCTATGCGCCTCATAAGCTAATTACATCCAATCATGGAGAGGAGAATTAAGATTTCAACTTTGCAAACCACCGTGGACAGCTGATTACTTCTAAAAGCTATTCATACTGTAATCCTATGCGTTTGTTTGCCAGGTTGGTAATTAGAAGACAAGTTTAAGTCACATCAAAACGCATCAGCCGTGGTCAGACGACAATTTCTAAAAATTCATCGCTGCAATCCTATGCGTCTGGATTCGATTTGCTGGGACTAAATTGTAGAAAGAAAATACATAGTATATGTTGTTTTACTAAACAGTAAAACGAAGATTGAAAAAAAAGAAATTAGGATTGAGAAAAGAAGTGAAGTCATGTTTTAAGTTTTGTGAGTCACACTAAGTTAGATGGAAAAATTAATAAACGAATTTTACTAATAATTCCAAACTAAGTGAGGCCATCACGTTGGGCGCCAAAAATAATAATAATAATAATATCTGTAACGGTTACAGAAGGAATTTGGGACTAGGTGGTCGACATGAGTAGGAGCGGCACGCTTAGAGTTCCGGCTCTGGCTCGTCGGCAATTGGGTGGTGTTCTTTACCTCCTACGTCATGTATGTCCCATGCTTATTATTTATTTTAAATAAGCGTGCATAAGACGAGAAAACAAAACCGGAAGAGAAACACTTAAACTGACTTCGGACGGACTTGCACCTACACTAAACTGCACACACATGATCAGAACTCAGATGTTGGCGAGTCTGAATACGCCCTCCCTACCTTGGTCATTACTAAAAGCCACATACAGAACAAAAAAAAAGAATATTAACAATGACCCCTTTGCTGGAAACAAAAACTTACGAAGGCATTGGGTTTGGCGTGAAATCAAAAAAATGATAAATTAGTAACACATTATAATTTATTTAAATGGGAATAAAAATTAGAGTGTTAAAGGAAAACATAAAACAAATTGCTGAACATACTATTACTAACAAATTCAATAAATCGAAAAATAATAAAAGAGAAAAAAAAATTACAATATTAAAAAAATTGAACCTTTTAAAATAAAAATAAATATTGCTCGAAGAAAAAAAAAAATTCATTAAACAGCCGTTCAGTGGCGTAGAGAATAAAAATAAATATAAACTTTCTTTAGTGAGTATTGCGCTTCCAATGACCCATTTTTTGAAATCAAATGCAAATAAAAGAATAAATAAACAGCTGTCTACTTACGGCTGGGCTGCTGATCCCACGCAGAAAGCGCTTTCCGTCTGGAACGAGCGTAGCTGTAAAAAAAGACACCGCGCTGGAATAAGAGCGCGCAAACAAAAAAAAACCCGCGGGAAGCAAAGTAAAGCGCACAAGCGCGAGAGAGAACCATTAATCGCTCTCACGTTCTCACTAAAAAAAATTGGTGCCTTCCGAATTACGGAATAAGGCAACAAGAAAAAAAAATGCAAAAATAAAACAGTGGCTTAACAATTAAAACCATACATATCACGAGCACTTCAAATAAAATTTTGCCACTGATTTGGACAAATTAACATATATAAAAAAAACTAGCCTAACCTTATAAATACTAATACGCCGGCATACGGCTTCTTCGGCGCTTGCGCGCCACTGCAATCTTACCCGAATTTACTCGGGTTTTTTACTTTTTTTCGGGCACTAAACCGACACCAACAATAAAAAAATTAAGAAAAAAAAATGGGTAACACCTCCGGGCGAGTTCCGATACTTATTTTAACGTTTGGTCGCCGATTTAAAAAGGGTCGCGCCCCCGCCGACGTTTGGTCGCTATAGCCGCCTTTTCTACACTCCCAAATTAAAGTAGAAGCTGCCGGGTGTTGAGTGGACGGGAAAGCTAGCCTGGAAGTTGCTCTCTTCTTTTTTTTCTGCCGTTTATTCTCCCTCTAGGCACTGCGGCCGACCGAGTGGAAGTCCCAGGCAAGGTTTGTTGTTGCAGACAGCTGATCAAGGCCCTGCAAATTAATTTAATGCCTATCAGACTGCCTTGCCTAAACACTTGTTGCAAAAAAAAAATCACGCAATCTGCAACTTACCGTGGTCTGATACTTCTTCCGCAAATATTTTAGCGGCTTTAATGGTTGTACCCAAAGCGGTTAAAGAGAACAATTACACACTTTTGAATTCAATTTGGGAACTTTACTTTTTTTCCCACAAAAGGCACAAGCATTTGCTTTCTTGCCAGCGGAAGAAAATTTGACTTTTTTTTTTTTTTTTATTTCGACAAGTTGAACTTAACACTTCATACACTTCTGGCTTGATTGACGTTCGGAATAAAAAAGACCGAACGTACTACCGCTGGCGCGAACGAAAGCTTTTAACATAGCGTCAGTGAAAGGCGCCAATTTCTTCCTTTTGTTGACATTTGCTGCTGCTATTTCACTTTCACCTTGTACCTGTTAAAGGCTACTGTTTAGCTTGACCAACAGATGGCGAGTCGTTAAATTTTAAAAATAATTAAATTTAACGTACAGGCTACAAGTCACGCTACAAACAGACAAATAATGATTGCATTTTCCTCAGTGCGTTTGTAAGATAAATAAATTTGATACAGTTGTAAAATAATTTTATCAATTACATCGCTACGATGCAAGGGAAAACAACAATTATGTATAAAAGCAAATGCCATATGCAAACTGCCCAATCTCATAATCTTCTTTTCTCTTTACAGACCAACAACTGAATTAAACATTAAGATATATTCCCATTATATAAATGAAAATAAATATCAGCAGCAATTTAATAAAAGCTCCAAGGATTTACTTGATTAAAACGTAAAGCAACAAAATTGCAAATTCATCGTGCAACATTTTTATTAAAATATTTCTCAATTACTCAACGCAATATAAAATGCGTAAAATATACTGATATGCGAGTACATACATACTCGTAAATACTTGTATAAAAATACCAAAATTCATAAAATGCTTGCAACAAAATGCGAACTAACCAAGTCAATGGGATGAAAACTGAGAGGGCAATGCTGCAAAGGCACTGTCGCAGCTCCTGCTGCACTGGCGGCCACTGGTGGAGCAAATCAAGGTGAGTGCCTCATCTCTCACTCTCTTACTTTCTGTCTTTTTTTTTTTTTGGAGAAAAACAAAATATTGTTATACAATTAAATTTGGAGCATGTGACAGGCAAGAAAAATGAGCAAGAAAATTTAATAAGACGAAAAAGCTTTTCTACACATTCAAAATATTTTGACAAGTTTTTCAATAATGCAATAAAGTTGCCAACGGCCCCGAGCGCTGGCGTTGGCGTTGGCGTTGGGGCTTGCGATGACGACAACGTCGACAGCAACGGCGACAGCGACAACGACGAGGATATGGACGTAGATGTGAAATACAGCAGCTAGAACGGACCACATCGACAGTGACAGGGACAGGGACAGGGACTTGGGCAGGGAGAACAGGGACAATGCGGACAACGATCGGACGCTGTTGATGAAATGAAAATATTGCACGCAATTTGTTAGAACATGGCCGTGCACGCCATTTGCTGCTGCTTGTTTATCTTTTGGCGTTTTTCTGTTTTGTTGCTGTGTGTTATTTTTTGGTGTTCTTGGCCACCAAGCATACAATATCCAAGTCCAAGTGAGATTTTTCAATGGAGCGTTGGTGGCCAGAGTATAAACAAATAATAAAAAAAAACAAAAAAAAAAGGACTCCGCACTATGTACGTGCAAAATGTGCGGGCACAGCGCAAACGATGAGACGACGACCCTGGCAACCGACGACCTTAGGCCGTCCATTTGTCAATGCGCGGCACGAAAGCCAAGAGTCTGCAGCGACGTGTTGACCAAGGCGACGGACTCGAAAATATGGCCGCCAAAACAGCCACCACGGAGTGGGAGTGTGAGGTCTCCACTTCAGACAAATCTAAGCAATGGCCAAACAAATTAAAGTTACTTAAAATGAACGGCGGCCTGGGAGCTTTAAAGCGCTGGCCACAAATCATGATGTGCCAAGCAAGAGACAGGGAAGAACAAAGGAATAGCTGAGCTGGCAATAATCGGGTACGCTCGACAACAGGATGCGCTGACTATCTCCAGACTTTAGCATACAATTAACATCGAAGCAGACAATACCAATGTTTTGTACATAAAAATATTGACAGAATAACCGAATTAGATAGATAATGTACCAATATTTACATGCCTCTCGATTAAACATGTTGAAGAATGTGGTTGGACTTCAATCGATGATATTACGTGAATAAATATTGTGATTTGAAACATTTTATACATATAGATAGAATTCTTATTCCTTCTAGACTCCTATCATAAACCTCATTCATATTTTTTGTTGCTTCTATATTTTGATTTTAAGAAAGTACCTAAGCCATCATATTTTTCATTGCTTCTATATTTTGATTTCGAGAAAGTATATTGGCTTGTGCTTAATAAGCTAGAAGGATTCCCACAATGTGAGTTTATTCCTGAAATAATTTTAAGGTTGTTATACAATTTAAAAAATTGTTCTTCCTAGAACAGATCTTAAATAAAGATACAAGGTTGATAAAAAAGGAAGTATAGAATCAATTATAGCCCAGTTTTATTGAAATACTGAGCACAACTTTCTAATATTTATCCAAACTTTCATGCAAATTTACATCTGAACTGATTGCCTATCCCAATACAATTTTTGGCGAATATATATTTTTCTATTGTTTACCAAAAATGTAGTTGCCACTCTACTACCTATATTCAGAATCGTTAATTTAGATATAGATAGTTAATAGAAATGTTCAATTGATATCAACATTTGCTTCAAATATTGACACTCTTTGAAAGCATACTGATTGGGTTAGTGAAATGGCAGCCTAAATAAACTGGCCTTGAAGGTTTTAATTTCTATAATAGAAGTACGAGTAAGATATAAGTATGATGGAAGGTCTTGTCATTATTTTTAGATATCTGATATATCCACCCACCCAGCCGGGTATAGGGTATGAACAAGTGAAAAGAAAGCTTGTGGCAAATCTACCCACAACTCACAAATGGCGGGCGAACAGACAGGACAATTTCTACAAGATTTACCTGACCAGCATAAGTAATCAGGCCAAGGGGTCGGTCGACATTGGGGCTGTTCGGAAACTCGACCGCCTGACTGACTGCTTCAATGCCCGACTGTCACTGGGAAATTCTAAACTGTCGTCCAAAAGCGATTTAACTCCAATGTAAAAGACATCAGTGTGGTGGTGGTGGTGGTGGAGGTCCGGCTTGATAGCTGTTGGCTCTTGGCTGATGGCTGTTGGCTGATGGCTGGGCTCGTCAACAATGAAATCGATTAAATTCGCATGCCACACGCACAATTTTTTGTCGCCTTTCACAGGCTCTACCCTAAACTTATAGTACTTCGGTCGGCCCCTCCTAACCCCACCCCTACTTTGGCATTTTCTTTTGCTGCCGTTTTGTGGGCTAACTCATTAAAAAGCATTAAACGCCAAAGCGGAAGTCATTGGGCTATCAGAGTGAAACACGTTTCCGTTTTGCGCTTCAGCTGCTCAGATTTACGGGAAAGTGCGTAGGAAAAGAATCAGTAAGCAGACTGTCGAAGGGCACGTGGCTGGATGTCCTTGAGACCTCGACCGAGATTGTCACTGAGTCGATGCGATGTCGATGTCGATGCTTCTGCCATTGCTGTTGCCGTTGCCGTTGCCCTTTCCCATTGCCCAGTAGTCTAAGCAGACAACTTCAAATGATTTATCGCTAGATAGTTGAGTTCAAAAGCGAAAGGCAAAGGCAATGCCAAACGGCAAAGGCAACTGAATGGATTGCCCCTGTAGAAAAAGCGCACAAATATTTATTTATAAAATTGTTATCCTTACTCCCTGGCTCTGTATCGTCTGAGCGGCTTTTGTTCCTTTCTTACTTTTGCCACAACTACGTTTTGTTTTGCCGTTTCAAGTTGTCACCATCCATCCCCCAGCCTGCTCCTGCTCCTGTCCCAGCCCCATCCCCATTCCCATCTCTTAACAACACCCACCTTCTACTTCAGACTGCCGTCGCCTCCATCGTCTCGCACTTCTTATATCGGGCCGAGTAAGGCCGGAGCCGCGTGCCTTTTGCCTTTGCCGCTCATTGCCAAGCATTCGCTCATTTTCAAATCGGATTTTATCAACTGGATGCCATTCTTGTGCAAATATCTTATCTCGCTGGCGCGCAGGATAATGGTAACTTTTTCTTAGCGCTCAGCGCTGAGCGAACTTCATGCAGCTTTGTATGGCTTTGGAATTATTTTGAAAGCGGAAATTGATTTTTCTCTCTCTTATTGTGTGCACGGCTTTCGTTGCTTTGGTTATTTTCATTTTCATTTTTTTTCATCTCATTCAGCTGTGATTTTTTTCTTTCTTTTGCCGACGACATCGCCAACGCAGCGAGTTGTACATGAAAATGGAATTCGTGGCATTTGTTTCGCATTAAACGAAAACTCTCTATCAAGTTTTAAATGTTTATGTTTATTGGTTTGCAAATGCGACTCATTTGGCGTTAATGTGGCAATAATGTTTAGATACAATCTATTATTGAAAATTGCTCCAGCCAACTGTTCTGAAGGCGTCGACTTGAGAACGCCAATTTAATTGAAATTGAGAAATTGAGAGGTTGAAACGAGAACAGGTACGAGCTTGTCGGACAATACGCATACGCATATGGAGTAGGCATTTAAATTGTTGCTCGCAATAGTCGAGAAGGATGCGATAAGAACTTTATATTAAGCGCATTTTAAATTTAAGTTTCTTTTCTATTCTGAATTCACGAAATCTACACTCAAGGAAAATATAGATTCATTAATATGCAAACAAACATTTTCTAGAATAAAATACAAATGAAAAATCTGATGACCTGACTATATGTGTTGTAGAAGGAATAACAACCAGGCATAGAAATAGATGGGAATTAAATTTTTTGTATAAATATAAAATGCCTTGCAAATTCTAAAAAGAATTCTTGCGGCTTTTAATATCACCATCATTTCAAATAATTATATAAAGAATTATTTGTAAAAGAAAAAAATAAGAAATTGATTTTTAAAGTTAAATACTGCACTCGAGCTGAAAAACAAACAATTCAGGAGGAATTTTAAAATTCAAAATAAGTACTTCAATAATGACTGCTTTCTTAGCCGATCGTACTTGACTTCTGAATAAAGTGCTTAATTTTTTGGTCGAGTGTAGTTTTGTTGTAGAAGAGACTTTTCTGACTTCGCTGTGGCACCCGTCTCATTAGACTCACTTGTCTGTGCATGGAAAATGCAGTCGCATCCTTTTGCATCTCAAATGGAAAGTATGCCAGGATAACTGCTTCTTCTAGTACTCAGCGTACCTCTTGCTGCAACTACCTCTTGCTACTCATGACCTGTCCCATTTCAGTGCACATTCATTTGTGCCGCTCGCTCGCTGTCGTCACTCCACCACCCCACCACCCCGTCACTCCTGCCTGCTTGAGAATCCCAAACCTAGCCTGACCTCTCGTGGCGGCCTGGCCGCCTGGCGCACTTGTTCACTCGCATTTGACATTATGAATGATCAGCATAAATTTCGCGAAGTCTCGCGAGTTGCAGCTGCTGCTGCTGCTACTGCTGATGCTGATGCTACTGTTACTGTTACTGGTGCTACTACGGCTACGGCTACTGCTGATGCTGCTGCTTTGCTTACGTGCCAGGCAGACAGGCAAGCTGGGTGGCCAGGCAGACTGGCTGACTGGAAGGCAACTGCTGAAGATAACAACAGAGGAAAATGAGGGACGGCTCAGAAATTCATTTCATTTCATTTCCTTTGTACGTGAGTGAAATTTTTTATGCAATTCCGTGTAATAATTCTCTTGGTTGTCGCATTTTCACGCATGAATATTCATGTCCAACATGACGTTGCCCGCTCTCTCACCCGTGGATTTCAAATACAAATGCTAACATTTGTATGATGCTGCGTAGGCAGATGGTGCAGAGTCTTAAATTTTACCTCCACACACATATTACATGTATTTGTCTTAAAGCGAAAAGGCAAAAGCACGCTGAGCGCAAAGAATTCGACATATGCAC